GACGCTGTCGGCTCTCCCATAGCCGTTGGCCCCGTTCACGGCCAGTGTACGCACATTGTAGGTTGCTACCCTAACAAGTCGACCCTGCCGCCTCTCCCGGGCGGTGCGTGCTGCATCCCTAATCAGCCTACGCACCTTCCGGCCCCTCCTCCTCTTCTTCCTTCCTTCTTTTATTTGTTTTTTTCTGATTGCCCTGCGGATCCTCGGGTTAATGTAAGAGTTAACCCGGTGCTTGCCTTTCCCAGCGAGGTGTCTTCCTGTCCCGGAGCGGCGTGGCTCTCCAGCTCTGGACCCGTTCCGTCCCCCTGTTGGGTGCTTACCCACACGGTGTGCGATCATCCCGCCACCCTCTCCGTGCTCTCCACTGCTGCCTTGCCCCGGCGTCCAAACCGGGGCATTTGGGTTTAAACCCATCGGCAGCTGTCTCCAAGTTGGCTTATCGCGATCTACCTCGATCTCGTGACCGCGGTAACTCCTGACCGCCAAACTCAGGATCCTCTCCTAAACGGTGCTAGGGACCGTATATCCGTCGTTGTTGGGTGATTTTTCGAGGGATAACTGCACTTGCGGGCCTCGGCCTCCCCCGGGGAGGGGAGGAGGGGGGGAGGCGGAGATGTAGTGCCGCTTTTGAAACCCGCTTTCAAACTCCCAATCAGCTTCGTTCAAATGCGGTGGTTTGGGCCAATCAGAGGCGCCGCTTTTCAAAAATTCATCCCTACCCATGGTACCTGTCTTTGGAGTTCGAAGGGTCCCCGCACATGCAACCATTTCAAGGTGTACGTATGACCCATCTGCGCGCCCTCTGTTGTTGCCGGTACATCTAACCAGTCCGTATCCAAACACACGAAAACACGCAACTGCTGGATTTCGCACAACTTTGTGGTGTGTGTGCACAGCAGATAAGCGTGGATTAGTTCAAGTACGCCTCACATGCAATATTAGGGTTCGGGCGTTAGGTCGCGCGCGTTGGCGAGTTCCGTGAGTTTGGGGTTTTGTCAATCCCTGAAGCGTGACAGCCACGTGTGCACACAAGCACCGAAGCACAGGACAGGATTGGCAGTACAGAGAACTGCTGTGTCTCCGCAATGTGAACAGCAGCCAACACGCTCAACACGTCTTGTATACATGGGCTATGTATGCAGGAGGTCACCACACAGTTCCAGGACGTCGTGATCCCGGCCATACAGCGGGTACGGAAGGCCGTCAAGCCGTGAACTGCTGCTGTATGTAGTTGGGAGAACTCGCTCCTGCTACTGCTGTAGACTACGTGTCAACAGCAGTCAGTACGACACCGACCGCTTTTATTCACGCAGTACGCCGTCCTCGCCTTTCCGTTCGAACGCGAAATGCCTTCAACAGCTACATTTGGATTCATCAACTTGCTTCGACGAACGCCATACCCAACATTGACGCACGTTCAATCTCGGCCGGTGTGCTGCACGCAAAGCGCTTGCTCAGCGGACCCGCACAACAGATGTTTCCACCATATTGCGTGCACTTGCCCGGAAATCATAATTATTTCTCCTGCAGTTTGTGTTGTTGTTGTTGTCTTCACATTAAACCGTATGTAGACTATGTCAGTTGCTAAATGCCAAAATCTAGCAAAAGACTCTCAGCCCGTGGTCACAGAAGTGCCAGAGCCATCTGAGGATCTAAAGAACACGCACACACAAAATAACGAGAAAAAGGTATCCAAGAGCCCGAAGAGGTACACCTAAAAATCCCTGCAGCACCGTATGCGTGCCCAAAAACTGAACTGCACGTCCGTCCCACCGTTCGACTACAGAGTAGCATCACCCCATCCCTGTCCCACTCTATACCAAAACGGAAGATTGCCGACTACAGCATACTGCTGTCTGAAGTGCTGTCTGTACAAAAACACCATCATGGTAGGCATGGAACAAGCAGCTGGCGGGGCACAAAACTGCTGTCTGATGTGCTGTCAGAATGTNCAATGCACCCGGGTTAGCCACGCCATCTCTGACGGGTCTCTCTACAAAACCGGTGACGACGTCA